AGTTTTTCATCAACCAGTACCCCATAATGTCAAACATAACATAAATGTCAAAATGAGGCTAGTATGTTTTATCAACTTGTGCAGGTGCTTTTTGGCTCATGCACTAAGCAGACTTTGTCTGAAAATGGTTTCTAAATTTGCTTTTCCTGGATACCTCTTCTCTTCAGTCATGCTGATGACAAGGCTACTGTAATTGAAACTTACGCAGACTTCATAACGATGCTTTTCTGCAACCATACCTATTAGACATTTTTGGACTAAGCAGAAAAAAGCTTTTAAAGTCTACTCTGGAATTGATATTCCACAATAAACTTTGTTCTTTTGTATACATTTTCTTGTTCTTTTTGCCTCAGTCTTACAGTTACCTGAGGACAAGTAAAGTTCTCCATAGATCTTTCAGATGCCTTGGGCACGTGTATTATCAGAGAGCTAGAATTTATTGAGGTAAAGAGAGAAAACGCTGCCGTGTTAAAAGGCATATTGGCTAAACGTTGCTTTTCATGTAATCAGTGCACTTGGGTTACTTAAATGTGGACAGATCTCTGAAGTTTGTATCAAGTGTGGTAAAAACAGTTTGCCTGCACGAAGACACATTGTACATAAAATGCTGTAAAGAACAGGGAATAAAATGGACTAATGAAAAACTGCTTATAGTAAAGAAGAAGATTGATGCATAGCAGGATAGCTGAAGCATGAGGTGCTATGTAATAGATTTGCTGGGTTGAATCACATAAGGTTAGTTTGGTAATGACTTGTGAAGATTGCTACCTATGTATCAGTGCTGCAGATGAACTTGTGAGCTCCCAGAGCTGCTTTTTTTCACCTCAAAGTTCAGTTAGCCTAACAAGACATTGCCTCTTCTCTTTCTCTTTTTCTCTCTTGCCCAAACTTTGTATTGTTTGTATCACTAGACTATTGCTACAGCTGCAATTTTTTGGAGAAAGGACTAAAAGGTAAAAAGCTACCTATGAAGTTACCCAAGTTCCAGGTAGTAAATAAGAATTAAATCAGTTCATGCTGCAGAGTCAGGTTTAAGCTGGATAAATGTATACTGTAATGCTGTTATTTTATTCTGTCATTTGTAATCAGCACATTTCTCTTCCCAGGCTTGATGGTGAAGGTCATTCAAATTCTTTGTCAACTGCTTATAAGCCTGTTTCCCTGCCTCTGACCTCTCCGAATGTAAAGCTGAATCTGACTAGTCCAAAAAGAGGGCAGAAAAGAGAAGAAGGCTGGAAAGAAGTTGTTAGAAGGTAACATTGTATGTCTGTGATCTATTGTATGTCTGTGATCTTTTTACCTTGTGATTTATTCTCCAATATAGAATGTCCATCAAGCTTGTGTAATTATTTAATTGTATAATTACTTTATAAAAAGTCTACCCCCCTTACTCTTGCAGTGCTGTGAAAACAAATTTCAGTCCTAATTTGAAGTAACTCCTCACTAACTCAGCATCAGTATGATGTGAACATGTTATTTGGCACAAGGGCTTTCTTTACCTGTGATTTCAGTGGACTAAAGGATGTGGGGATAAGATAAAAGGGGGAGGGAGCAGGTGGCAGTGAAAAGCCCCTACAGCAGATTATTGCTTGAACGTGAGCTAAAGGCAGGATGGATGTTAGCAGAGGAGAGGAGAGCTGGATGATCTCTTCAAGGCTAAAATCCATTGTGCTTTGAGTGGTGACCTTGATCAATGATTACGTGGAAAATTCTGTCACCTTAAAGTGAGTGCTAGAGGTACAATTAGATTTAAAGATTTTCTGTAAAATCAAACTTTCTCTTTGAAAATATACTGGATTTTATTATATGGACATTAACACTGGTATCTTTTCTGTAACCTTTGTGGGGTCTATTACTTGTAACTAGAAATAATCATCTGGCTTTCCTTTTTTTGTTCCCTTATCAAAAAGGAATACAGCATGAACATACAGGTGTCAGATGCTTTGGGTGCATTTAAGATGTCCTCCTGTTATGTTCTGCAATGGTAGTGAACAAATATGCTCATTTTTGAGAATGTTAGGATATGTGCAAAGAACATAATTATATGGAGGTTTTAATGCATTCAAATTAGTGGAAGACACAGGCTGTTCTTAATAAAGGTTAAAAAGCCAGTATAATCTGAAAATCTAAGCATTGGAACCCTTAGAGGATTTGTTCTGTCTCTGCCTTTTGTTGTGTTTGCAAATGAGGTTCTCCACTATGACATGGCCTTGCGAAATACGTGGTTGCAGACAGCCTACTATTTGGCGAGTTGTGCAGGTGTGAAATCATTAGACAGGCAGATGACTCTTCCAGGGTTGCACACAGACCCTGCCATTGACCCTGGAGCTGCTCCATCTCTCCTCCTGAGTCTCTTGAGTCTCATACGCTCAACTCAACTGCTTGGTTGAGTGTTGTCAGCTCTTCTGCTGGAGATGGCAGAGTTCTGGAGATGGCATCCAAAACCCAACCTTTACTCACCCTTGAGGAATCAGCATGTGTTATAAAGAACATGTTTAGAAAGTGTTCTGTAGTGGTGTGTTTGCTTTGCCCAGACTGATCGAAGCATGCGTCCTGCCAAAGAGCTTTTTGGCAACTTCAGATGCGTATGAAAAATGCCCAGGGGTTGCATGCATTTGAAGTCTTTTCTGGTCTCAACAAGAATTCTTCTCCTCCCCTGTCCCCATGACCCATGAGTAACCCCCTGGCTAGAAGGGATGTCTATCAAAGAAGTAATCAATGAAACATCCCTTCTGCCCTTTACAGGCAAGTAGGCAGAGTTTTGAAAGACCCTCCTCCTAGTAACACTCTGCAGCCAACACCTATTGAGCAATTTCAGCTGCAGAGAGGAGGGCGCTGCTGTTCTGGAGCCAAAAGGTACTGTTTTGGGCACTTCTTAAGGTAAAATCCATTGAGCTTGGTGGGTGGGGAGGGAGCAGTGGGTGGGCAGGGACCTGGGTACGGGGGTGAGCTCTCCTGAAGGAGGAATGTCTCTGTGGGTGGTGGTGTGGGGTTGTTAGTGGGCTGAGGTGGAAACAGAACAAAGTATGGCATGTCTTGAAAGTTAGGTGATGATGTAGGCTCTGGTTTGGGGAGAGAGCGACTGGGATGTCTGCCTTGAGAGGGGAGTCTTCAGGGTGGAGGGCAGAAGGCGGCTTTGGAGGAGAGCTGGGTGCATGCTCTAAGGAGCTGGTTTCTGGGGATGGGGAGGGTTGTAGCATGCTCTCTTGGCAGGAAAGGGGGAATGAAAAAACACCTTGGCAAGATGAGATGATGCTTTAGAACATTTCCATGTATTTAGATGTGTTTAAAGTGGGTTTCCTTTAAGTCATGTTAAGTGAAAAACAATTTCCCGAGGATCAAGTTACTTAAAAGCTTCCAAGACTGGAATAGCTAGGTGAAGCTGCCAGCCTTTTTGGGGATTGGTGGTAATCTGTACAGTGTTCTGAGGTGCCTGCACTGTTATCACAATGGTTTCTGAAACCCCTCTGAATCCCCTCTAATTGTTCAGTATTGAACTACTGCACATCAGTGACAAGCTTTGAAAGTGGTGTGTGGGCTTGAGAAGTCCAACCTTTAAAGTCTGGGGACAGTGGTGGCGCAGAGATACCTTGGCTGGGGTCTGGATGTAAGCATAGGTTGTATTCAAAGACTCCCCAGTACTGTATGCCTTCACTGACCCACCAATATCACGTGAACTAGAAAAAGCCTAGATTGACTTATTTTGCTGAACTGAGTTATAGTGTTGTGGCCTGACAGGGAGCCTGCTTTTGAAAGTCTGTGCTGCCTTCACAGTGACTTCCAGCAGCTCCTAAAATCACAGAACCGCACAGTTTTAACCATCTGCCGTTGTGTAGTGTTGCCAATAAATTTTCAGATCTGTAAGTCTGAGAGAGGTGGGTTGTGAATGCAAGTGGTATTACAGAGCTGATCATTGGGAAGACAATGGAAAACCACCTTCTCCTTGGCACAAACAATCCAAATGGCTAAGCCATGGGCTTTTATATATGAAGCAGCACTGTTTATGTAAATCTAGGTTGATAGGCTAAGTATTGTCTTGTTTTGAAAGACCACAAGAGAAGATAAAATCTAAAAGTGTTTCTAAAGCAGTATGAGGCACATACATCTGTGTTACAACATTGGTGGAGTAAATCCTTCTGGAGAGTCTTTGTCAGGTACTGAAGATGGTGAGTAATTTGGGTGGTGGAGTTTTAGTGAGGCTCCAAAGGGTGAAAAAAGTATCAGCAGAAAACCACCTGCTACCACCTTAAACCACCTTAAAACTTGAGACTATTGCTTCAGACTATTGCCACCTGTCAAACAGCAAGGGATTTTTGTATGCCTTTAAAGTTTTAATACATTTCACAGATTTGTGATCTTTGTGATATAGGTCAAAGAAATTATCTGTCCCAGCTTCTGTCGTATCTAGAATAATGGGAAGAGGTGGGTGCAACATCACAGCAATCCAAGATGTCACTGGTGCCCATATTGACGTTGATAAGCAAAAAGATAAGAATGGCGAGAGAATGATCACTATAAGGTACAGTATCTAGAAATGAAAGTCTCTAGTTACTCCATAGTGTCATTTATTAAGAAGTTTGTTTGCTTTTTAAGATGGGACACATTTAGCTTCTTGGTACTAGAATAGAACATATATTACTGCTGCCAAGATATGCTGAAGGTCAGTGTCAAAAGATAATCCTTAAGATATGCAAAAGTCAAGAAATAACTTACTGGAGTAGATGTGCAATAGGCTTGTGGATCTGTATAAAATTGAGGCTATGGAATGTTGCACAAAGTGGGGTTTCCTTTTGCAAAAGATAAATATGTTTGTATTCAACCTAGGGGTGGTACAGAGTCGACGCGATACGCAGTGCAACTCATCAATGCCCTTATTCAAGATCCTGCCAAGGAACTGGAAGACTTGATTCCTAAAACTCATATAAGAACACCTGGTGCGAGTACCAAATCAATCCATGCAAACTTTTCATCTGGAGTCAGCACTGCAACTGCTTCGAACAAGAACTCCTTTCCTCTTGGAGCACCGCCCCTAGTCACATCGCAGTCATCAACACTGTCTACTTTCCAGCCTACTAACAAATTAAATAAGAATGTCCCAGCAAATGTGCGCTCATCTTTTCCGGTGTCTCTTCCTCTAGCTTATTCTCACCCTCATTTTGCCTTGCTGGCTGCCCAAACTATGCAACAGATCCGGCACCCTCGCTTACCTATGGCCCAATTTGGAGGAACTTTTTCACCTTCACCGAACACTTGGGGACCATTCCCAGTGAGACCAGTTAACCCTGGCAGCACAAACAGCTCTCCAAAGCATAATATGTAGGTAGTCAGAATGGAAATATTTTACAGACGGAGTCTCCTGGATTAGCTACTTCTAGTTGTCCCATTACTGTCTCTTCTGTAGCTGCTTCCACCCAACCGCTGTGCGTAGCCAGTAATCGGACTCCCTCTTCGGTCAGAAAGCAGTTGTTTGCCTGTGTTCCCAAGACGAGTGCTGCAGCAACAGCAATCTCAACTGTGACGAGCACCTGTAGCACTCTGCCTTCAGCTTCCTCTGCCCCCCCAAACAATGGGCAAGTGCCCACAGCATTTCTGCCATCCAATGCTCCACAAACGCAGCATCCTGCACTTAAAGTGGACTCTTTCTCGGCTGCCTCAGCACCCAAAGAGAAGGTGTCAGCACCAGACCAGCCCGCTGCAAATGTTTGCGCACCATCTTTGGTTGCAAGTAGTTGCAGTATGTCAGTTAGCAGCAACTCAGGAGTCACCGAAACGCGCCCATCAAGCAGCCCTGCACTGCTAAATAATGTCCAAGATGAAATACTGCCAACCAGCATGTCGGAGATCAATCCTTCCATGTCAATGCCTTTTTCATCTAGCTCAGAAACTGTTCCTTTAAGCTTACCATCACCCAGGTCAGTTGTTGCAGATAATCAGGACAACAGTAACTTACCTCAAGTAGCTGTACCAGCGCCTCGAGTTAGTCACAGGATGCAGTCCAGAGGTTCTTTCTATTCAGTGGTACCAAATGCAAACCTCCATCAAGATCCTCAGTCTATTTTTGTTACGAACCAAGTTCCTTTAACACCTTCTCAAGGTCCACCTGCTGCAGTGCAGCTTTCGTCAGCCATGAACGTTATGAATGGTTCTCAGATGCACATTAACCCAGCAAACAAATCATTGCCCCCTACCTTTGGGCCAGCAACGCTCTTCAATCACTTTAGTAGTCTTTTTGATAGCAACCAGGTGCCAGCTAACCAGGGATGGGGAGACTGTCCACTCTCTACCCGAGCGGCAGCTGACCCATCTTTCACTGTTCAGTCAACCTTTCTGAATAACTCTGTGCTAGGACACGTGGAAAATGTGCATCCTGACAACTCCAAGGCTCCTGGTTTCAGGCCACCTTCCCAGCGGGTTTCGACTAGTCCTGTAGGTAAGTCGTTAAGGTCATGCACTGGACGGAACTCTTTCTCCAACCATTACACTTTGATCATCTCAAACTGTTTGAGAAGTAGTTTACAAATGACAGAGAATACTAATGTAATGAGGATGGCCTACTTTTTTCAGGAGCTTTTTAAAACATTGATGATTATTATTTTCCTCTTCTCTTCAGCTCTTCTGGGATATTAGGTGTTGGGAACATTGCAGATACTGCATTCTTGTCCTCTGTAAGACACGGGAACACTTCTGCCTGTATGTAGTGTTCAGAGTAGCATTGTTCTCAGTTTTTCGTTTGGAATGGAACATAGGGTTGGGTGATACCAGAACTGAAACAGCAGGGCCAGGACTCTTGACAGGTTCCAGCTGCAGGGGTGCATGCGGTTGTTCGGTATCTTATCTGAGATTTCGACTTGACTCAGTGAGGGTAAACTCTGTACTTTTTGTCTCTGATATGGCTCTGGAGTCTTTATGAGCTTACGCTGTGCTTTGGGAAACTGGTGTACTACAGCATTGTGTGTTTTATTAGGAAGTTACTGTCCTGCTGTTAAGTATAGCAGTTCAAGCTTATCTGCTTTTATTTGAAATGGGTTAGGAACGCTCGGTGAGCTCCTTTGCCCTTGCTGTGCTCTGCCTAAAGGATTATTATCATTTTAGTGCAAACTGTGTTGCAGGCAACTGGTTGCACCCTTTTGGCTGAAAGGGAGCCTCAGGAGATGTAGTCTGTGCCACCCTGTTCTCCCCTTCATTCTTACCATTATGGCTTTATGGTGCCTTGAAACTGGGTAGCTGGAGAACCTTGCTTTGCAATTGTCTTTACCGCTGTAGTGTAGGTTAGATATTTGGGGTAACGCTTCAGGACTTGAATGCTAGACTGGGACAAGTCAAGTAGCTTGACTTTTAGACTAAAGGAGAAGGGGCCATCTGGGAGACGTGGTGAGGAAAGATTTTCAGCATTCCCATTCCTCTCAGCTGATCTGCAAAATGCTGGACTTCTGAAAACCAGAGCACTTCTCTCTGACTAACTTTAACCACAAAACTGGGATGTTTGCTATGACTATTGTTTTCTTAATAGTTTAATTTGGGCTGTATAGCTCTGCAAAGCAAGTGAGCACCTAGAGCTCTTTTGATCACCTTCGTTTCAGAAACTAAACTGTCAGTCACATGGGGAGGTTGGAGGTAGGGGAGTCTGGGGAGAAGGGGGCATTTTGAAGGTGTGATAGTGAGGAAAGGAGCGGGGATTGTAGGCTGAGGACCTCTCCAAGGACCTCTGCCTTCCCTTGGAGTGGAAGTGTGGTCCTGTGGTCTGTCCACCCATCTCATTTGCTGGCTGTTCCCAGTGGAGCAGACCTTTCCACTCAGCTCAACCTCTAAGGGGAGTGAACTGGGGACAACCTTGGCTGCTTCCATAGGGTTCAGTGGCAGGTTTCATAAGATGTTGAGAAGGGGGTGGGGAAAAGGGCCTGTCACGCTGACTTATGCTTTGGCCAAAAGCAGTGCGATGGACAGGGAGCAGTCTGGGCCTTTCCTGGCAATTCAGTACCCTTTTGTGTGATTAGAGGAAGTAGTAACAGCCATCGAGGTAGGTGGACACTGTCCTCTAATCTCAGCTGTGACTCTATACACCTGATGGAGCAGAGGTTTGTCTTTTGTACCTGTCTTGCATAATTGGGCTGTGGCAAATTTTTCCACAAATCGGCATCTCTTGGTGATCACCTAAGCTGATTTGGTGGAAATCTAATATAATTTGATTGCGCCAACTTTTTCTTAACAAGTTGTCACCTCAGGGTGGACTTCGGATACTCTGCTTTTCCTAACCATCGGTAAGGTCAGTTGCAGCTTGAGTCTTCTCTGATGCACTGGTTCTTCTGATGCACAGATACATGTGCAGAGCTCCTTGCCAGCTGTGGATCTGTCCTGGAAGTGGCCTTTTGCCTTGCTTATGTCTTGAGATGTTTTGTCGTAGCTGCTTGCAGATTGAGGGCAGACTTAGCCCAAACATTAGGGGAGGCTGTGAAGAAGACCAAAAGAAGTCTGTTTGTTACTTCTTTCCTCCGCATTTTAAGAAGGGGTTTGAGACCTTGCTCACATGGCATTGAAAGATACCAAAAACTTGGAGTATGCCAACTTAAGAAGCAGCACGCAAGTATGAAGTTGCATGAAATGGCTGGGCTCCGTGTTTTACAGAGTGACCAAGTGTTACTGCTGTTTCTCTCAAGGTGAAGGTAGCCCATGCAGTAACCAGTTTCTGCAGAAGTGCCTGGGGATTTGATAAACTGAATTTTGAGCAGCATTTGTGTGAGATTGGTGCACCAGTCTCAATCTCAGTTACACTCTTGGAGCATGATGAAGAGTTTGAATTCATGGCCCAGGTAACTGCAGAGTAACGTACTGCAAAACGTTTAGTATTACAAAGCCTGATTTTGTTGGTAGATACATAAATAGGAAGCTCATTACTGAAATCAAGATGTAAATAATTGTTCATAGGAGTCATTTTTAAATTGACCAAAGGTTTTTTTCATCCACTTTTATGTAAGGCAAGAGAATGAGAAAAGGTGTTCTTCACAACCTGAAAATTTGTGCATCTCTCGCTATCAGACTTCATTCAGCCTGTAGAAAATACGCAGCAGTGCAAAATGGTCTTGGTTGTACAGTCATTGCACTTTGGAACACATCCTACCAAACCTTCAAAAGACAGCTGGGCATCTCTTCTGCAGAAGAGCTATTTTTGTCATAATCTCTGCCTTGTTCCTGTTAAGAAAATCAGCAGTCCCCGTGGGCAGCAGCTGCTCTGTTACCCTTTCTTTACGGGTTAGAGATTCAGGACTTTCAGTGGTTTTGTCAGCCACCTGGTAACTTGGTTTTGGTGTGTGGTGGAATCGGTCACCATAGGGGCCTGACTATGTCTGAGTTGACTTTTGTGGATGGAGAGTTAGAAAGACTGTCCCATCAGTAGCTCCATGGCAGATGCTCAGTCGGGGGGCCCTCAGCTGGAGGTGCTGCAACCTGTTAATAGCTAGACTCCATGCTGGAGGCCAGTCTGCACCTCTAGGCAAACGCAGATCAATCAGATTGCCTTTACAGGCAGCCTGCCACAGGTGTTAGCAACTTCCTTACAGCCTTGGAGTCTTGCACTTGTGCTGTGACAAACCCTGAAAGATTGGCCTCCCATCCTCAGCTGCCTGCCTCTGAGCACCTCGTGTTGGTGGTAGTAATTAATTTCTCCTTGTCTGGAATGGAGACTTCTCTTTTTTTAATGTTTGGGGTAAGGACTAGTGAGAAAAATACCTTCCTCAAATCTAGTGAGTCATTTCTGTCAATGTGAGCAGGCTGGATCTGGCATTTATGGAAGCAAAGACTTGGTTGATAATATTGGGGGAAAAAGACCTGGCTTTCAGAAAGGTGTTGAGGCGATGAAAGTTGCACCTCTCGTCTATGACCTAAGGTATTGCCTGGCACCACTGTCATTTGCAGGCTGCTGTGGTGTACATAGGTACAACCTTCAACCTTGCTCTGCAGCAATATAGGCTGGTCCTGGTTGTGGTCATTTTGAAATGTTTAAATGGTTTTGAAATTAGTCTTGTTTAATAGGCCCTTGAAACTAAACCCAAAACTCAGGTGAACACACAGCCATGCCCATTTCTGCTGTCAGGTAATAACATGTGATAAGAGCTTTTAAAACATTTTGGAAGAGTACTTAAAAGCTTTGGCTTATTGAAAACTGTAATTCCCCCTTGCTAATAATTTTGTGGGACTATGAACTTTCTCTCAATCTCTCCCTTCCTTACACATCTCTGTAGAAAGCACCCCACTCACCTGTTGTGCTGTGCATCATCAGCTCTGTTTCTCTGGACACAGCATGCTCTGACAGATCTATATGTGAATGTACCTATAGGATAGCAAATGCCTTACTGCAGTGGACTAGTTCCCTGGTGCTGGATTCCACTGGGACTTTCACTGAGCCCTGTATCCCTGTTTGACTTTGTGGCTGTTTTGTAAGCAAAGATCCTTGCCACTCCCAACTTTCTTCTTTTGATGTCCCTGCTAAGATAATTTCCTTTCAGTGACCAAAGGGATGGCTTTTTTTGTTAAAACTTCAGGCCAAAGCAGAGAGCATACAGAAATGCCTTATGTTGGTTTCTGAGGGAGAATCGTGCACCTGTAAAATGAACTTAACCATGTGCAGATACCCCCAAAGGTGATGAGATGCTTTAATTATATTTGGAGCACTAGCTCTCTCGGTGCTTTGAAGCAGGTTCCCAAAGAGAGATATTTAATCAAATTTATGTTTATTTCAGGCTTACCCTCTCTAGATCCATCCAACAGCTCTACAACTTCTTCTTCAGGTCCTTTGACAGGCTTTTCAGCAAACATACAAGGAGCACGGGTTTACCTTCAAGGGCCAGCGCCTGTTGGGACTCCCAGCTTTAACAGACAGCATTTTTCACCACATCCTTGGACAAGCGCAACAAATTCATGTAGGAACTTCATGGGTCTGTCTTAGTTAACTATAAATTCATAGCTATTGTCTTGAGTAGATTTGTAACTTGAGGGGAAATCACCCAGTGATGCACAAAATGCTTTCCAATTGCTTTTAGCAGCTGTGAGGATAGCGTGCAAATCCCAAGCTGTACTATTTTGTGTTTTTTTCCCATGTAAAATGCCACTAGTTCTAGTGGCAAAGGCATGTTTGGGCAAAAAAAAAAAAATCAGTCACTGTAGGCTCTGAGAGTAGAGGGCATGAAGCTGTGGGGGAGTGGAGGCAATTGCACCAAGCTACAGATTCCCCTCTAAATAGTGTAATGTTAGGTCAAAATGTCATGTTTGCCATGGTTTGAAGTTACACTTGTCTTTTTTCCTTTTTTGTTTTTAATTGGGATTCTGGAATTATTTCATGTTACTTAAATATTCCAAAATCTTTAGGCATCATCCAAGGTAACAGTGGGTTTTCCTCTTAATGGGAAGAACATGGAAGTAGCTTTACGGAATATATGGGTCTTTGATTCAGAATCTTAAGTGAAGAGAGGCTTTTCATGTCACTGCATGCAACTTCATTGCCACTCTGAGCTTAAGAACCAAAATGTTTAAATGAGTGCTCAAAGGATTTCCCAAGGAGAGTCAGTAATGCTTTGGAAGTTGGTGGGACTTTGCTCTTATGTTACACATGTGGCTTTGGGAAGCTCTCTAATTTCTCTTCTGTTGGAAGTGGTGGATACCAAAACCAGGCCGGTTAGTTATTTATGGTATTTTGGCTCATGTTTTCACCTCTTCCTGAAACTCTTCCATGTTTCTTACTCTTTCTTGTAATTTAGATGTACTGCTGTGTCATGAGAATATCATATGATTCTGAGGGCTGAAAGCGTTTATGTTGTTATGTTGATTTTGGAGTTAAAATAAACTCTAAATAGATTTTCTGTGAAAGATTTCAAGAATGCTTGCCAAACAAAGCCTTTAAAACGTTTTTATCATTTGCTTTGAGATAGTATTGTGGGGATAGAGTGGGTAGCATTCATGCTCACTAGCTTGTGTGCCTTGTGTGTAATTAAGCAAGAGAAATATTCTTTCAGCAGGTGAATCTCCTATTCCATCAGTTTCCTCAGGATCATCTTCACCCCTTTCAGCTGCTTCTGCACCTTCTAACTTGGGCCAGCCAAAAACGGGTAACGCCAATCAAGATCGAAAGGTACCCCCTCCCATTGGGACAGAAAGGCTTGCTAGAATTCGGCAAGGAGGATCTGTCACTCCTACGCCATTAGGAACCAACTTCACAGCTCCTGTGGGTCATAGCGGTATTTGGTCCTTTGGAGTTAACAGTGTATCTGGTAAGTCTGTACAGCCTTGGGTAGCCTATAGAAACTTGAGGGCCTTTTGGAAATACTACATTTGAAAAGAAGGTTTTGAAGGAGAAGTAAAGTTCCACAGTCTAATCAACTTCCATGTGGTACCTCCTGAAGGGAAAACATGTCAGTGGTGGGAGAGTGTGTATCAATGAAAGTGCTGTGGTTTTATCTGCTGATGTATGTGGTTCTCACCCGACGTAGGTTATTTGTCAGTGTACACTTGTAAACCCTGATAACACTCCAGAAATTTCATATTAAGTCTATAAAATGATAAATAATTTAAAAAGTGAACAGCTTTTACCTGTTTAAGAGGTTCCCTTTCCAAGTCTGAGCCTTGGCCTAAAAGGACGGCTGCCTCTGTCCCAGTTTCTAGCTTGCTTTCCATTAGCAGTTTAAATTGTTAGTTGTGGTGGCAGCTAATGCATCCAGAAAATGGAGACTTTTGTATTGATCTCCTCATGAGTCTTGAGTAGTATGGGCTAATTTCTGTTCCAGGCAGCCCCAGTTTCAAAAGAATGACTTTGAAACAGCTGAGTTTTATGTTCAGTTTTGTGATAGTTTGAGGCTCTTGTGGAAAGGAGGAGCTGCAGCATTTGTGGTGTAAAGTGTTTCCATTGGTAATTTCAAAGACAAATGTTTAATAGTCCTGTATTTGTTATATTTTTCAGTGAAGCCCTCCATACTTTGGTTAACTTAGTGTCTGAGCATTGCTGGGTTTTTTCAAGAACAGCTGGTATGTGCTCACAGACAATGCTTGGAGATTTATTGGTTCTTAGCTGCTGTGGACACCTGAAACTTGCAGTTACTAGTAGTACCTGTTCTCTCCACACTTGTCTGGAGCATCAAAATGAATGTACATGTGGCTGGCCAAACTTCCCTGGCCTCACCAGTCTCTCTTCTTTCCCCATTTTTGCCCCTGTCATAAGTGTAAATTTTTGCTGTACGTGAGAGGATGCGGGAGCTGGAGGGGAAGAAAGTGTGTGAGCATGTAGCCAGCCTTATACAGCGTTGCCTGCTGCAGCTTCCCTGTGACAGGCCTTGATGCCACATATAAGATGTGTGTTTTCATTGTCTTTAATGGGGCTGTTAGCCTAAACTCTGCTGGTATCTTCAGCTTTCTGTAGGCTGTGGAAGGTCTGCCTTTGCGCAGAGCAGCTGTGTGCTTTCAGGGAGCCTTTGGATGTATGCAGGTGTGTGCAGCTGCTGAATTCTACTTCAGAGTAGCTTCAGTGAATTGTAATGTCATTTTCAATCTCCTCCTTTCCAGAAGGCTTGTCAGGTTGGTCTCAGCCTGTCATGGGAAATCATCCGATGCATCAGCAGCTGTCAGACCCGGCCACGTTTTCTCAGCATCAGCCAATGGAGAGAGATGATTCTGGAATAGTGGCTCCCTCAAATATTTTCCATCAACCTATGCCAAATAGTTTTGTGGATTTTTCTAAAGTAAGTAACAGATGGTTAGACTTAGTCTATAAAATGACTGAGGACTGACTCTGTTGTCTCCTGTTCTGCCTGTTTACGCTGTATGTGTGTGCCTCTTCTCCCATTGCTTGTTGCATCTGGTCCTGAACCTCCTTTCATCCTACTATGACTAAAAAAGGTGCCCAAGCCTGGTGGTGTGTTTAACAAAACCAGAATATGTAGATTACAGATGTTCTCTTGTCAAGTAGCTGGACGCCTTCATCGCTCTCCAGCGTTTCCTTTCTCAGAGGCTCAGTCACTTGGAAACATTTCATAAGGCTTGCTCAGCTCTTGAGGCTGACTAAGGGTGTGCTTAATTGCTTTCAGAACAAATTTCTCAGCAGGATGAGAGCATCACTTCTAAGTCTCTCTCGTATGTTAATGCTGCAAAGTAGATTGAGGCAGACGGGTGTAGCCAAGCCATAGCCAGCTCAGCCACCACTAGAGGAATGTCCAGAGTGATGTGCTCAACAGCAGACCTGCTCACAGCATGTTTTGGAAGTAGCTGTAGCATGTGCTCTTGGGACCTTCTAAATTGCAGTACAGCAGTCATTCAGACATAGGAAAGAAATCTCATAATTGCAAAAAGCTGTCTGTAACTTGCTCTTTATGAACTGGAAGAATATTTTAGATGGCCATTAGTAATTTATGGAAAGTCTTCAATTCTGTCTTGTAGGCTCCAGCCATATATGGGCTTTGCTGAAGTGCAGCCCCTGGCTGCAGCCCTGCACGGACCAAGGTTATTGTGTGCTGCAGAGATGAGATAAGGGAATACTGAGGCCATTTTGTGTCTGGCTTTATGGGGTCATCTGAAAGCGCTGTGCAGAGGCTGCTGCATACTGGTGAGGTGTAATTTCAGAAAAATGAGTAAACTGACTTGAATCTCAGGGTCTGAAGAGTATTCCATACTCTGCCGAGGTCTGCAGTGATGCCCCATTTCCTCACAGTGCTGAGGCATTTGCCAGTAGGTGAACATTCCATATGGTTGTGAACTGGCTCTGTCAGTCTTGGCAGGTGCGGTGCTATGGTTGTCCTTCACAACCACTGTCACCTTCACTAACATTCCTTTCTCTTGTTCCCTCAGGGCCTACCGATTTCCATGTATGGTGGCACTCTAATACCTTCACATCCTCAGCTAGCGGATGGCCCAGGAGGCCCTCTCTTTAATGGGCTCCATACTCCGGATCCTGCTTGGAATCCCATGATCAAAGTTGTCCAGAACTCAACAGAATGTACTGATGCTCAGCAGGTAGTGTGGTTGCCTTTTCTCACCTCTGCTTACCTGGAGCTTTTTATGGTGGTGTGCTTTAGCTTGTTTTTCTTCATTTTTGGATAGGTGACGTTTCTTTCAGTTAATTGATACTAGAATTGAGATTGTTTGCGTGACTTTTTGCCTACTCTCTGTGTGTGTTTAAAAACATATATGGTGCTATCCGTAGCAAACCTTTCAGGTAAAATAAGCAGCATTTCAGGACTGCTCATCCAGTTAATCGACTTTGTTATAAAGTGAGAGGGTGCAAATCCGTACCTGGCATCTTGCAGGTTGTGACTCAAAACTTGGCCAGGGCTGAAGAGGTCTCCCAGCCTTTGCAGTCTGCTTGTATTTGAGGGGGAAGCCTCTAAGTGGTTAAATGCTCTGTTAAAGGAAACTTTGTTTTCATAATAGACTTGTATTTTTATTTCTTTCTGTAGATTTGGCCTGGCACCTGGGCACCTCACATTGGAAACATGCATCTCAAGTACGTCAACTGATTAAAGGGGGTCTGTCCTTTTTTAGCCTTGTATAGGAATCTCTATGATCTTGAAGAACCCTGGGGATTTTTTCATGCGCTTAACTAAGCAATTTTTTGTGGTCTGTAACAATGGAATCTTGATTGCCCATTGTATAAGAACACATTGATTTACCTATACAAACTGATTCTGTTCTCCAGTTAGTTTAGCCATTTTGAACTTAAAAATCAGATGAAAACAGTGCTTTTGGCTAAACACTACTGAATGCTCCTTGTATGCAGCAGAGAACTAGCTGATTACATGATTTCAACCTTTTAGGGTGATAAATACATGTGTAATTGTTTATATACTTAAAAGGAAAAGCTGAGTAAATTTCATGTCGTATAGTGGCTCTACTTTATGTAGCCTGTATTAATGTGAAATATTTACCTGAATATTCAATAAAAGGCAAACAGTATTTATAGGTTGTGTGTGAGAATTTTGGAAGAGGCTGTATGTTGTTGTCATCAGTAGCTGCTGCTATGCCCAGTGAGGGATCTTTTCAGTCATGTAATTAGCATATGCATGCAGTCCGGGTTTGGGAGAGGACCTTGATCTGTAATCATCTGTGATAGGAGGTCTGGTGAGTACTTTCCCCTGCCAGTTGTTAGCCTTTTACTTTTTCGTGTGTGAACAAGGTTGTGCAATTTTTTTCCCCGTTTTGGATTGGTTCTGCTGCTTCTATCACTCTTTTTCCACTTGGGTTGCCTGAGATACCAGGTTTTATGCAGGGCTGGAAATACAGGCTGAGTTGACAAGGTGGCAGCTGATGGCATCTTGATTTGCAGAAGGTAAATAGGTAGCACGTAGGCAAATGCTAGGTTTCTTCACCTGACTCGCTGTGACTAGCTTCCTGGAAGCAGATCTTAGGAAAGGGGAGACCACTTTGCCACTAGAGAAAAGCGTAATACATTCAGTTTTACACTTCTTCTAACCCTTTAACTCTGGTAAGAGCTCCTCAGGCCCTTTCCATGAGGAAGAGGGGGACTTTTGCGTACTGCCTAAAATGAATATTCCTTCTCTACCAAGTTGCAGTTCTCCACTTTCTGCACTGGGACTATGCTTATTTCTGATCTTGCTCAGTGGCAGTGCCATCACCACTGAGTATTTGGTCCATTCCTTAAGCAGGTAACTACAGCACACATAGTGTCTGATCTCATGGACCACTTTTGGTGGTCTCTCAGGCCAGATGAAGACTTGTCCACCTTTTCCAGACAAATCCTTACATGCAGCAGCAGAATTTCCCCAGGAAAACCATGAGGAAGTAGTATGGAAAACCCAGAATGCACAAGCAGTTTCCAAGTACCGCAGGGAAATATCAGAAATGCTACTGGATGAGATGTTCAGATATTTTTCCTAGTATCTGAGAAAGAAATGCAAAAAGCATGGAAGTGTTGCTGCCCCCAAGTAGTGCAAACACTAGAGGAGAAACATGTGTTAACAGTAATTGTTACTGAAAACAAATGGTACTGTAGTGCAGTAGGTGCTTGCTCTTGGCATGCCTTGCAGGGAAGGGGCCCTCCCTCCTTGCATGTGGACTCCATGGCTGAGTTGGGCCCCGCCACCTCCTCCTTGCCCTATCCTGAGGAGCCACCATCTCCCCCACCTGGAGAGCTACAGCTCCACACGGGGTGGCACCATCTACTCCATCATCCTGGGGTGGGGAGGTAAGACCCAGCTAAGGGACAGGGTTGTTCCTTGAACAGTGGCCTCAGAGGCCCTATCCCTGACTAATTTAGGCAGCTTCTTCCTGACTGTGTCCCTTCCAGGGCTCACCACCTTGCAGCTTGGTGGCATGAGCAGCAGATCCAGGCAGGCGTATGAGGTGGTGGCTTCTCTGGCAGCCCAGACCTGGAGTGGAAAAGGGAACCCCAAAGCTTTTTAGGAAGACACAGCTAGAAGTTAGGGCCATCAGATACCATCTGCAATACCAGGGGAGCAGGCTGCCAGCAGTGACGCTGGGATGGATGGTGGGTGCAGTGCAGGTCCCCTGGGGCTAGGTCACGCTAGTGCGAGAAGTCCTGCTCCCACCCAAGTTCACTAGTCCTGGGCAAAGGTACGGTCTGGCACGGCTTCTTCCAGGGGTACCCTAAGCCTGCCCTCTTACCTCCCCTTCCATCCCCCCTGTGAAAGCCCCTGGTTCAGGTGTTGAGCTGGTCCTTTTCTTTGCTGTCTGGCTGCAGGCACCCACCCTGCCTGCGCTGGCTCCATTGCGTGCCAACAATAAAATTTTCTGGGGCTGGGAGCCAGACCTGGTGTGGGCAGGGCCACAGCAGGCACAGGTTGTGTAATGTTTGTGGTGCGGGGAAGGGCCTGCCTCATGCGGGAGCTCTGGGCTGGCGGCTGCACTGGGCTGTGCTCGCTGCTGGAGCTAGGCAGGGAACTGGTGCTCAGCTGCAGGGACAGCTGGGCAGGGGAAGGCAGGCCTGGGCTGGGGCAGGGCAGCAGGCTTGGCATGCAGGCTGGTGCTCCCTTGGGTGCTGCTGGTGGGCACTTGGGGCGTGGGGGTGAGGCAGCATGTGTGACAGTGCCTGTCCTGCAGCTCTATACCCAGCAGGCTGGCACACTGGAGGAGGTGTCCCATGGAACCTAGCATGTTGTCCTACAGGGCACAGCCGAATAGCCCGCTGGCTAATGGGAATGCGTCCCTGGGTACAGCTCACTGAGGTGCCAATGAGGGGGCATGCAGCTTTTGCTGTTTGAGAACTGCAGGGAGCCATCCCTGAGCCAGCCATCTCTGGGCAGGCTGTGCTGGGACCTGCCTGCTGCCTGGTCCTTGGGCTGTGCACGGAGGGTCCCAGGGCTCGGCCTGCCTTCTGGGCAGCACAGCAGTGTCAGCTGCCACAGGACACCTGATGATCCCCTTGCTGCTGTGCTCTGGCAGTGTTCCAAGAGCCTCAAGGGGAGGAACAATGTGGGGAAGAGCTGCTGGACAGAATGGTTGTCACAGCCTGCCATGTGGGAAGGCCCACAGTGGCTCCACAGTCATTGGTGGTCAACCGCTGGGTCCCACCCCCTGCTCTGGGCTCGGGCTTTAGTGCTCAGGGGGTGGCCAGGGACCAGCAGTGCCTGACAGCCCCCTGCTTTTGCCAGGTACCCGCATCATCTACGACCGCAAGTTCCTGCTGGAGTGCAAGAATTCACCCGTGGCCAGGACCCCTCCCTGCTGCCTGCCCCAGATCCCCGGTGTCACATCCCTGGCCCAGTCCCACCTCGTCAAGCTGGAGGAGCTCAAGGAGCAGAATGAGAGCAAAGAAGCCATGCCAGGTGAGTAGCCCAGGCACGCAGCACCTGCCTTATGCCCTGCCTGGCCACAGTGGCAAGGGGAGATCCCAGTGCCAGCTCCTGCCCCCTTTGCCTTGACATTTCTCCTAAGGCAGCCCCATCCTAACCTTGGCTCTTTTATCTCCATACCCTTGGCAGATCAAGACCAGTTTGAGATGGGCATCTGAGTTTCCAGCTTCCTGTCTCCAGGCCATGGCTGGGCCTGTTCCTGGGCCTCGTGGAGGTGCTGGCACCGTGACCAGCTGGCTGCAGCCCTCTCTGATGCTGGGGATGGACGTGTGACACCTCAGGCTCTAGCACAACTGGCTGGTGCAATTGCCTAGGAGCTCATGCTTGATTAATAAACACCATAAACCCCCAGTGCTGACCTGGTGCATCTGTGTGTTGGGGCTCAACCTGGGGCAGGGAGCAAAGAGAAGAGTGGCACTAGGAGCCCTTTGAGGGTGCAGAGGCTCTCTCCCCATGTGCTGGGGCAGACCGGTGGATGCAGCGGCTCAGGGTCTGCTCCTAGGCTTGGGGTGCCACATGCAGCCTGCCTAGCTGTGGTGGGGGCAGCTGGTGAGACCTCCTGTGAGTGCACTGTGCACTGTGTTTGCTGCCCCGGGCCAGTGTCACACCCTGGCTGAGCTGACCCAGTGAGCAGCACTAGCCCTGTAAGGTTTCTGTCTGGATCTTCCCTGTTCCTGAGGGGTCTGAGCTGTGCCAGGATGGGCAGGAGCCCAGACGGGAGCATGGGCTGTAGCTGCAGCACAAGCTCTGGCCAGGCTGGGCTGCTCTGGCTGGGGGCTGTCTTCTGCAGAAGAGCAGGTGCTGTGGGTCCCCCGCCACTGCCAAAGGCAAGGCCAGAGAGGGCCAGGCTTGGCCAAATAGTGCACTACAGGAATGTATCACTGCCCACTTCATGTGGGCCCTGCTGGAGGGGAAAGGCAGGGAATTCCTCCCCTTTGTGTCTTGGGAACACCCTGCCAGGTCAAGATCCCCTTGGCCAAGGCTTAGGCTGCCATGGCCTCACCCAGCAGTCCCGTCTCCTGCTGCTCCTGGGAGAGAACCAGGATAGTGCCAGAACCCCAGGACAGGCTGCGGCTAGGACCAGGGTTAGTGCTGTTTATTAAACATCAAGTAGTGAATTGCCACTAGAATGCTGCAGTGATTAAAATCCCCTTCTCCCGGGCAAGGACTGGGAGGCAGAAGAGGTGCCCAGACCCCCTGGGGGGAGCAGGGGCCCTTCTGCCACTGGCCCTGGGTACAGGCTACCCTGCTCATTGTCCACAGCCCCCATCCGGCATCAGGGCTCCTCCTGGCCAGGCGTGGCCTCGGCGCTGCCATCTGTTGCCGCAGCTGGCTCTGCAGCAGGTAGGCTCCTCATCTGGGCGATCAGGTGCTTGACCCCCCCCAGCCACTGGCTGACCTCGTTGATGTGGTCCACCATCAGGGAGCGGTGGATCTCGTCAGCTGCATCCCAGTGCTGTTGCTGGAGCTCTGCCAGGACAGAGTAACTTGTCAGTAGCGTGGGGTCAGCCTTCCTGCAGCTGCACCTGCCCTACAGCCTGGCGCTGGCCTGGATATAGTCCCTCTTGCCCCTCACCTTGCACCAGGAGGCTCATCCTCTTCCTCACCGGGGCTGACAGCTTCCCCTGAGCCCACGCCTCCCCCAGCACAGTCAGCCGCCGACCCATATCGTTGCACACTTGTTTCTGAAAGCAAAGGTGAGCTGGAGGCAGGACCTACCGCCCTGTCCCCCCCAGCTCTGGGGATCCCCCAGGGCCGGGGCGGCTCTCTTTGCCC